TTTATTCCCCCACACAAAAAAATGTGTGAGGTGCAGTTTTTAAACTAACGTGCACATGACATCAAGTAAAAACAGTGACCAACACCTCTCACATATAACGTACATGCACAAATCAGAAAGCCAAAATATTAAGGCAACATATACCGGGAATTATGCAAAAATAAAACCGTCCAAATAATTTCCAGTTCTACAGTACACTAAAATACAATAATCCTTTCTGGCACTCTAATCAATTATCGAAGATTATTACAGTAAGATGTTCTCTGAGTGTTTTTGATCATTCAATTTAAGATGAAAAAAAAATCTACCAGTACCAGAAGCCATTAACTCCATCCTGGGACTAAAAATTACATAGAACTTTTTTGAGCACATTTCAGACATGAAGTTACATATCACTAAGCAAATATACAATTTATTTTGATAAAGGTACGTAACTTTAATATCTACGTGCAGTGTTATGCGATTAGAATCCAATTCTGCATGTGCATCAACTCATTCCTAACTGAGAGCAACATAGAATGTAGTTTTTTTGCTCAGAAACTTTCGATTGTATAAAATGAAATGAAGAGTTTATATCGTCGCATTCCAAAACAGCGACGAAACTCTAAAATTTCGGCCAGTTTTAAATAACTTTTGTTTAAAAAAGGTAGTTTTAAGATAACCAAATTACATTGAAATTTTTAACTTCTTGAATTTTTTAGAGTAAAAATCATCGATTACAAACACAAACGATGCACATACATGTATATGGTTCATGGCAAAAACAAAACAAAACAAAAAAACATATTACCAATACGACTAAGTTAGGAGTGCGAGATTTGAATGAATAGGTAAAATAAGTTTCTGCTGTTATGAAAGCTGTTAAAACACTTTCAGTATTTGTTTTACCTTTTAAAAAATGCTAATTGCCTTTTTAAATAAATATCATGCAGCAAAATCAATGCCTGCAAATCGTAATGCAACTAATTCAATAACGAAATTTACTCCTAAAATGATTTGACGATAAAACGAAATTTACATACATGTTATAGCAAACAAAATCTCAGTTATGAATCTCAGTTTATAGCGTTTTAAACAATTTTCAATTCAACATGACCACTAGAGCAGGGCTCAATGCTATGGGGAGATCACAAAATCATTTTGTCAAAGGAACAACTTTAGAAAACCCTTCTCTTTTAACACACTGCCGGCTAATGACATTTCTCTTGAATTATTTTGACCATCTGTGGAGGCATTTAGCAGATTTCATGAGTCGAGATTTTTTATTTATTTAATAAACAGGAACTTTTTGCTCAGCAAAATATCAAGTATTATGATACCATGTGCTGTCTATTAAAACTCTCTGTTCTCATTGGTTGATAGGTACCATGTTCAACATTGCCATCAGGCTATAACTGGGCAGGGGTGGTGTCCAATGTTTCCCCAAATTTGTACCAATCGTTTAATTAACAATTACACCACGTTTCTTCTAGGTTAAGAAATCCTGGATATTTTCATCTAGAAAAATCACCTATCAGTGGATGTTGCATGTCTTGCATGTTTCACACACAACTGAAATACAGACATCAAAGACGACTGTTAATTTACTTCTTCTCAGGCTTCCACTGCACCTAAATTTACCAATATTTCAGGGGTACTGTAAAATACTTTATTTTAGCGGGAATTAATTTTCGCTGAAAAGACTGTTTGGGTGTTTTGTGTGGAGTTTATTTTCATTGATTTTTGATAAGTTGAATGGAAAATATAGAAAAAAAAAGGTATACTCGTTAGATCTTATTTTTACTGAATCATTCAAGCAAAAATAGCCATAAATTAAGTATTTTACTGTTAATAATTGATATAAAGAAAAGAATTCGCACTGTCTATTGTTGCATGACAACAGGGCTCAGATGTTTGCTTAAATGATGGGCTTGACTTGTCATTATCATGCAAGAACAGACAGTGCATTGTTCTTTGATTTGAAGTGCATCCATATTTTTATGCTTCCATCCTTACACTTTGTCTGCACCAGATGGAGAGTTGATTGATTGATGTCAAATTATTATTATCAGCATATTTTGGGCATATTTTAATCAAGTATTACCGGTATTTTACCAGCAAGCATGAATATTTAATGAGATGATTGAATAAACACCAATCCAATAGAGGGCAGTGGATTAATTTGTTAACCAAGGCATTCTTCATGGCAGACTGATGGAATAACCATATTGAATACAAATCAGGGAGAAATTTAGCAATTTTTTATTTATTTATAAATGCACATTAAAAAAAATTACATTTAAATTTATCTTTCATTTCAAACCAAATGGTAACAATTTCTGAAAAAAAAACGTTGGTTGAATTCACAAGCTTTAAAGAAATTGCTATTTTATCTTCTGTTTCCGTGGCAATTGTTAATTAATTCACTAGAGACAAATGAATCATGTCTTTTGACAGTAATTTTTAATCTTTCAGTAAATAACTTCCAAGTGATGATTATTCCACTTAAACACAATATCAACGGCCGACGCTTTGTGTGCTGCATTTACAGACAGCTTTACTATTTACTTTTAAAAATCGCGACCAAAAACAGTAAATCAGTCAAATTTAGTGAGCTACTGAAAAGTATGACATTTACACAAGACAAGCCACATAAACAACACTCATTGACATGCTTTGTGGGAGAAAAACAAATAGTGGGTTTCACGATTACAAGATCTGACAGAATATAGAACTGAAAGAAAACGTACAACATTGTTCAGCGCATGAAACAGATTGACTGTAGATACCGTACTTATCCGGGTAAGAGCCCATGTCTGGGCAAACGCCCACCCCCCACTTTTGATACAATAAAGGAGTTGAAGTCATATCCGGGCACAGGCCCAGGGGGTCTTTTTCTACATAAAAAAAAACACTATTTTCTATTCGTTGACTGTGGTTGTATTAACAGTTGACTTTCTTGAAGACTGTGGTGATACTTATAAAAAATTTTAACTGCGTAAAACAAGGGGTGAACGCAAAATAGCTGTCACAGCTTTCTGCCTTCAGGCAGCGCGTTCTGAATCATAACAGTCAGCAAGTCTATAAAAATATATATTAAAGCAGAA